CGCAAATATATACACACATTAATATACACAAATATATAGACACACAATATACACAGACTGGGCCACAGCAATACAGTCCACTTGCCTTGTTTCCAACAGACCCCACAACCTCTGGGGATGCCTGCCATAGATGTGGGCAAAATGTCAGGAGAGAATGCTTCTGGAAAATGGTCAGAACAGCCCAGAAAACTCACAGCAACCCTTTTTACATGTTCGCTGCTTTTTGTTCCGATTTGGGAGAAAATAAATAAATAAATAAATAAATTGTTGTTGTTGTTATAGTTATTGTAATTGTTTTCTCCGTTCTGCGTAGAAACACCCCGTCGCCCAGTTCGGTGGCCAGCAGCGACTCAGGAAACACGGATGAGATCCAAGACGAGTTCGACCGGGAAGCAGACGTGGAGCCCATGGTCAGCTGATGAACGACCAAGGGGAAAAAGGAAGGCAGAAAAGGGGGAAAAAAGGAGAGAGAAAACAGAAAAAGCGCAGGAAGAAAACGACAAAAGAGGAAGCCGACGGAGTCTCGGTCGATGAAAAAGACGCGGAATCGCTCTGCCGTTCGACGGAGGACAAAACGTTAACGTTCTTGGAGGATCATTGTGCCTTTGCCCCAAGCTCCACCGGAAGAAAAGAGACAAAAAAAAAAAAAAMAAACAATCGTGCTTTTTCTATATACAATGATAATGAMTTTTTTCGTTCCCTGACGAACTGAGAGACTTACGGACTCGACAGAGTGGCCTCCGTCCATATTTTGAAAAGCAAWGATGATCAATATTGGGGTCGGGGAGAATGTAAACATTGGCAKCCCTTCTTCTCCGGGGTGGGTCCCRCCTCTCGATCCGTGGCCGTTTTACGGGGATGTTTTGTACCCGGCGTTCCTTTTCTGTACAGAAATCCTCAAAAGCTTGGTTGGCAAAGCAAGGAAACACAACAAAGTAAATGTCGGGGTGCGAGGGGGCAGGTGGGGGGGGTCTGTTTATTAAAAAATTACTATGCAAACAAAGAAGGGGGAAGGGGAAGAATAGAGCTGGCCTTATTTCTCCTTCGTGGTCTCTGTTGCTTTGCACAGGAGGCCTTTGGCAACCCTTTTGCTTCCTGCAGATGCTTCGCTTCCAGCTACTTCCTTCCTTCCTTTTCGACACAAATATATACAAACTACAACGGGAGAGTTGCACAACTTTGGGGGCATCCCGTGGGTCACATTTACGGTGGAGGCCCACTCTCACGGCGTGCGGAGATGGCTCAGTTTTTCTCCATTTTCTCGCAAATATTTTCCATTTTCCTCCCAATTTTATTGCAGTTTGAGAAAACTGGGAAAAATTGAGGATACGTATGAGAAAATTGAGAATGTTTGCCAAAAAATGTGGAAAAAAAATAAGAGTATTTGAAGGAAAATGGAGAATATTTTCAGGGGTGGTTCTTTTTGCAAATTTTCTGACTTTTCTTTCCTTTTTTTTTGCAAATTTTCTCAATTTTCTTTCAGTGTTTTTGCAAATGTTCTCACTTTTTTTTTTGCAAATGTTCTCACCGTTTTTTTGCAAATTTTCTCACTTTTTTTGCAAAAGTTCTCAATTTTTTTGCAATTTTCTCACTTTTTTTGCAAATTTTCTCACTTTTCTTTTTGGTTTTTTTTTTTTGGCAAACTTTCTTACTTTTCTTTCCAGTTTTCTTGCAAATATTCTCCATTTTCATGTAAGTATTCCCAATCTTCTTTCCCAGTTTTCTGGCAAATATTCTCTTATTTTATTACAATCTGCTCAGTTTTCTTTCCAAGTTTTCTTGCAAATTTCCTCAAATTTCGTCGCAAATAACCTGTGTAATTTCTTTGAAATATTCTTAATTTTTCTTTTTGGTTTTTCGTTCCAAACCTCCCAATTTTTTTGCAGATATTCTCAGTTTTCTTTCCAATTTTTCTTGCAAGCATTTTTAAATTTTCTTGCAATTTTTTTTCCTATTTTCTTTCCAGTTTTCTCACTTGACTTGCAAATATTCTCTATCTTTGCAAGAATTCTCAATTTTCTTTCCAATTTTCTCAGTTGTCCTTCACATATTCTCAATTTTTCTTCCAATTTTCTTGCAAATATTCTTACTTTTCTTTCCAGTTTTTCTTGCAAATAATCTCTATTTTCTTGTAAGTATTCTCACTTTTTTTTCTTTTCAGTTTTCTAAATTTCCTTTAATGTTTTCTCACTTGTTTTGCAAATATTCCTACTCTCCTCCCCCCCAATTTTCTGGCAAATATTCTCTGATGTCAAGGCAAACATGGATTCCAAGCTTTCTCTCTATCTTATACTGGAGATTGCAGAAAAGTCGCCATAAGAAATTTTTCTTGGTACTTTTAAGGTCATTTGGACCAATGTTTGCAAACAAGCAAGTGCTATGAAGAACGTTGCTGCAGTCTCTTTTCCAAATCTAGCCGCAAAGGCTCCTGGGAACCTGACTTTGGCACCAAAATGGGAAGTATAGTTGCAAATATTCTCGATACTCCATCCAATGTTTTTTCCGATGTCCTCGGTGATCTTTCCCATTCCCACAGTCCCTTGTCCCTCCTTTGGGCTGATCTTTAACTGGATCCTGCAGAGAGAGAGGGCCTTAATGTTTAAGCCCCGAGCATCGGGACCTTGCCCCTCTTTCCGTTGGGAGAAAAGCGTCCTCTCAGCAAAGGCATTGAACCCTGACGACTTGAAAGTCCATTGCTTCTGACCCGCTTCTCTCCCGTCCAAAAGGCTTTCCAAGGGTCGCTGGCTTGGACTCCTCCTTGACGCCTTGCTTTGCTGTTTCTGGCCCGTCTTTTGGGGTTAGTCCATGGGAGACCTCCCATTTTCCACATCAAGCAAATGCCATATCCAGTGGGCAAACCTCGTCCCTCCGGGACTCCCACTCCCACAACAGGGACCCAAGAACCGTGCGTCAGCATGTTTTGGCGCCCAAATAGGGACTCGGAAACTGCTCGGTGGTTCCTTTTAAAGCAGGCATGGCCAACTTGGGCCCTCCCTCCAGGTGTTTCCGAGCAGTTTCCTAACAGTTTCTGAGCGGTTTCCGAACGGTTTTTGAGCGGTTTCCAGTTTCCGAGCAGTTTCCAAATGGTTTCTGAGCTGTTTTCCGAACAGTTTCCGAACGGTTTCCGAATGGTTTTCGAGCGGTTTCCGGTTTCCAAGCAGTTTCCGAACGGTTTCTGAGCGGTTTTCCGAGCGGTTTCCGAGCGGTTTCTGAGCGGTTTCCGAACAGTTTCCGAGTGGTTTCTGAGCGGTTTCCAAACAGTTTCTGAGAGGTTTCCGAACAGTTTCCGAGCGGTTTCTGAGCGGTTTCCGGACAGTTTCTGAGAGGTTTCCGGACAGTTTCCGAGCGGTTTCCGAGCAGTTTCTGAGAGGTTTCCGGACAGTTTCTGAGGGGTTTCTGAGCAGTTTCTGAGGGGGTTCCGAGTAGTTTCTGAGCGGTTTCCGAACAGTTTCTGAGAGGTTTCCCAGCAGTTTCTGAGAGGTTTCCCAACAGTTTCTGAGAGGTTTCTGAGAGGTTACCCAGCAGTTTCTGAGAGGTTTCCCAGCAGTTTCTGAGAGGTTTCTGAGAGGTTTCCCAGCAGTTTCTGAGAGGTTTCCCAGCAGTTTCTGAGAGGTTTCCCAGCAGTTTCTGAGAGGTTTCCCAGCAGTTTCTGAACGGTTTCCCAGCAGTTTCTGAGAGGTTTCCCAGCAGTTTCTGAGAGGTTTCCAAACAGTTTCTGAGCGGTTTCCAAACAGTTTCTGAGCAGTTTCCAAACAGTTTCTGAGCGGTTTCCCGGCAGTTTCTGAGAGGTTTCCGAGCGGTTTTCAAGCAGTTTCCGAGTAGTTTCCAAATGGTTTCCGAGCGGTTTCAGAGTCCCTGTTCAGATGCCAAAACACGTTGACGCACGGTTCTAGTTCCTAGTTAGGAATCGTGTGAGTTGAAGTCCAAAACACCCGGAGGGCCCAAGTTTGCCCGCGCCCGTGCTTGAGGCTCCCGTCCATTGTTGCTGACCCTTCTTCTTCCGTTTGTTCCTTTTCGAGGCAAAAAACAAAGCAAAAAGGTTCGCATTCAGTCCCGGTTTCTCGGGAAACGGAGGGATCGCGTTCCCATTCCTTGCATGGTCCGAGTATTTGCTTTGAGAGGCCAGCATGTTAATAAGGGTGAAAGGGGAAATTCCGATTGGAATTTCGGTAGGTTCCTCCTCTATTTATATATTTAGTGCGTAGGGATGGAGGTTGTTTCCCCGTAGAAGGCCGTTCTCGGCATAGGAATCAAAGTAGATGGTGGTTGGTGTCCTTTTTTATTACTATTATTATTTTTAATATAATCCCGTATTTATGCCTTTCGACGTTTTGGGAGATGGGGGTTCCCTGGGTTTTGTACAAAAAGGGAAACAGGCGCAGGGTTGGTTTTGCTTTGCGGGCTTTTTGTATTCGGTCCGTTTTCCCGTTGAAGCTGCTCCGGCCGTAATGGGGGTCCCGTTGTGCGCCCGACCTCTTTCTTTCGTGGGGCGGATCCCCGCAAAGCTTGTACATACTTTGTTTATTCCTGCCGCGGTGTCATATTGACACTTTTTACAAGAAAGTAAACACACTGAGAAAAAACAAAACAAGGGAGGGACGGGTTTCCCGGCGGGGTTTTATCGAA